GTGTGGAATGAAGCTAAGCTTACGGTCAAAGATAAGCCCCAAGAACTTTGCCTCAGGGACCACACGAATGACTATATCATCGAGACGGAGCTTGGGATTATTATGTGAGAAAAGATGTCACATCAGAAATACATTGTACATGAAAGCTTTAAGGATAAGAAATGCATGCATTTTAGCACCTTTCATAATCAAAAACAATTTTCTAACTAACTAACCTTTATCCATTATTTAAAAATCACATTCAAAACCCAAATGCTGAAACAAACCAATTATATCCTGCAAAGTCTAACAAATTAAATATCAGGTGCATGGTATAATTTATGCTCCACAATTATTGTAGCACTTATTTGTAAAAAAATGTCAAACCTGAAAGATTTTTACTAAATAGGTCTGACCATTTCGGCTGATAATAGCTCAGCTGTATACCCATCCTATATATTCTAAACCTATAAATAGACTGTTACAATTATGATAAAAAAACGCATTGTTCCCTATATAACTTTAACTCACTAACTATTACACAAGTACTATTTTTATGTTTATATTAAACCTAAAAAATTAATCAATAAACAACACATGCAAGTATTTTTTAACAACAGGGTTTCTACAAGGCCCCATCAATAGTTGTAATATGAACATAAAAAACTTGCTACTTTAGAATAAGAAACATGTTCTTACCTTCTAGCTGCAACAGCAAGCTCATATTTTGATGGTGGAGGAGCAGCATAGATTCGTCCAGTATTTTCAGGATGACAGCCCATATCTTTGCCTTCTTTCCATAACTTGTATCGCTCTGGTTGAAACTTACGAACAAATACATCCATGCTAATCTTCACATTATCTTTTCGACATGAACACTGGGGAAAAAATCCTCATTGCACTTTAAAGGTTCTGGGAAAAGCCCCATAACATTTAAAGTATTATACTGTATACATAAATAGCATTTCATAGAATCTTTTGCCTCTCATCACCCACTAAAATTAATTCTGGTATTGAATGAACTTATAATTAGTGTCTTGTGGGAGACAAAAATAGATCTGAAATGCTAATTATTACACCTCTGAATTCAAGCCACAATGGAAAAACAGTATAAGAAATGCAAAAATATATATATATATCTACAAAAGCAGAAAATATATTCATATCACAACAGCATTAAATTAATTAATAATTTTTTTTAAAGAAGTGAAAACTAAGACCTGAAGGAATTTGTACTTGAAACTCTACTTACTAGGCATAGGTTTTAGCCAACTGAAGCTACCGTGTTTCAAATTATGAAGTCTCAGTTTTCACTACAATGTTTCTGAAGGGTGAAGTTTGGCATAACTCTTAAGCTATTCCAGTTAGCTTGTATTAATTGGAATCCATTTATTGGCTTTCTGTTGTTGCTGTTGGAATTGCCAAACTTCAGTGCTTTAGGTAAAGAAATCCTACGGATGGTATGTAACCCATAAAATATCTATAGCTAAAACTAATTATACTCAATTTTCACACAAAGTCCACATTATGCTATAGTACTCAGATGACTCTGTTGCTGGTTTTAGTGTCTACATTTTTTTAACACTTATTGAAAGCTTCACAAAAGAGAAACTTAAAAGTTTTGACTTAATTTTTATAACTTAAACATAATTTACAATATTCTGGGACTTCTTTAATGATTAAATCTAACACATGAGAGAAATGCTAATTGTGAATTATGCATGGAGTTTATATTGTACATATCAAAAAGTGACTAAATATTTTACAAAAGAAATCTGCCATTACACAATGCTGCTGTAAAACAGTGATAAATAGTTCTCAATGGTGTATGAAATATAGACAAAATTTTATCTTGTAAAACAGAGAAACTGTGTTAAGAAAACTCAGCACAAGACACAATAATGAAAATACAAGTAATGGTAATTGAAAAACTAACTTGTAATGCTCTTTTTCCATATTCTATCCATCGTAACAATGCAAAGTTAGTTGATTCAGCACAGTTGAATCCATGATTGAAGCCAGCATGATAACCATAAGGGAATGTAATCATGAACTCACCAGGTTCTTGTGTTATCTGGCAACAAGATATAGAATAATTATATTCAATATAAAACTGTCTGCAAATGCAAAAAATAATAAACAAAATGCAACATCTCTAAAACATGTACTGATGAATAACCCGATATAATTATCTATATCAATGCATTTAATACTAAATATACTGCATAAATATAAAACGAAGATGATGAACAGAAAATGTCTGAACACGAACTTTCTAAAGATACTAGGTTTTGGATAACAAGTTTACAGATTTCTGTCCAAATCCACCTGCCACTGTGAATTCCAAAAGGCTAAATTCAAATATACTAGTCAAGAAAAAAGTTATCATAGACTACCAAAAAACATAGATAAAATTGATAACCAACAAAAATTATTTTTAACTTGAAATCAATTATTATTGAATACTGATTATATAAGTACTATTTTTTCTGAATACTGAAATTAATATCAGAATTGGTATGAAAAAAAATCATAAAATATATTTTAAAACAGATTTTGGAAACACATTGTTTAGTAAAAGAGAAAACTACTAGCTCTAATTTCAGAAAATGCACTTACATTTTGACAAAAGTTAACTGTTATATATTCACAAATTCAAAATAAGTTAAAAGCTTTAAAACACCATACTTAAAAATAATTATTAGTTAAAATGAAATTCTAATTTAGTTTTATATCACTCACTCACCTTATTAAAAGGAATTGAATATTGCTTCAATATCTGTGGAGAAATAACTGTCATCTTATGCCTCAAAAAAGCAGGGCAAATTTGAAAACTGCTTGGGAAAAATCCTGTCAAAATCAAAATAATATACCAGAAGCATTTCATCAGAATACTTTATCTGAAAATCTTTAAATACTAATGGAAAAATTGTTTTTAACTTTAGCAAGTTTTATTTCTGAAAAATCAGACAAATTCAGGATTATAAGAATTGTTTTCAAAGCCACTAAATACAAACCACAGGTTTACATAAGCATCACTGATTTACAGATACCACTGAAATACCAATTTTTTTTTGTTCCTTCTCACAATGGAAATACTTAATAGTAACTAGATTGCATGAAACTTAGTAGAAACTTACTGAATAGTATCTAGTTTCATTATTATCAAAGCAAGCACAAACATTTTAAGCTGAATAATGCAATTTCATTGCAATAGTTAATAATAATTTTCAAAAATAGAAAAACATAGTGACTCTAAACCAGTGATTCTCAACTGGTAGACTGCGAGATATAAGACGTGCAGTTATGGGCTAAGCTACTCTACTTATTTTGCTCTATTATAAATACAGAAAAGTTAGCTTGAATGTCAAGAACAACTGGTGAGGATGCTAACAAGTCATCAAATGTATACGAGTTGTGAGGTGCAAAAGGTTGAGAAACCCTGCTCTACACCATAATCTAGTGTTTTCATTTATTCTACATTCATTATTAAAGTCCATACTCTACAATCAAAGAAGCCCAGTAATATCCCTAAATTTTTGTCAGGGGTAAAATGATAAAAAAATAATAATTAAGGGATCTGTCTTGTGACTTTATGGGTTTACTCTATCACTTTCTAAATTTAATGACAAAAGAAAATTAATTTAGCAGCAATATCAATCAATAATTTTCCTAAATTGTAACATTTTTCATACAATGCTAAATTCTTGACCACATGTAATGCTAGTGAAAATTCTAAGAACTTAAGAGTAAAGTAAAGAAGAATGTATGACATGTCAACCACAGTATATCTGCCAAATCAAGTAGCAATGAAGCCTTCCATTACCAGGGTCCATCACATCAAACTCCATGAACAACAACTTGTGGTGTTAACAAGATTAAGTTGTTGAAGTGTAATTTTGCATCAGTTTTTATATACGAGCCATTTACAAATCAGAATTATAGTAGTTTAATAATGCATCATTATTTATTTACTTCAATATCAATTATTATCATTTACTTGTATTAACTTTACCCATAATTCAGATGAAACAGGTGAACCAGCAAGTTAAGATTGTCTTATTGTTCCTGGAGAGGGTTACGTAACCATAACCGTAACGAAATAAAATTACATCAGTAATTCTAAGAACTTGAGAGTGAAGTAAAAAATAATATATAACAAAATGTCAACTACACTATATCTGCCATATTTAGTGCTGATGAGGTCTTTGTCTCAACATCAGAGCTTATCAGAATGATTGGGATACAACAGCCATAGTAGTGGTCGAGAAGTTACATTATTAAACTGTACAAACAATAACTGTTATGGTGCGAGCTGGATTAAGCTGAAGTATAATTTTTGCTAATTTTATATGTATCGTTTACAAATCATAATTAGGGTAAGGATTAATAACACATTAGTACTTATTTACATTAATACCAATTATTATTATTATTATAACCACTCCTGTTTTAGAATGAAACTAAGCATCAGCCAATGAACTACGCTGTATTTTCCACCCTACTCCACCAGAACCAGCTATTGAAGGTGTGATATTTTTTGCATACTTGCAAGCAAATAGTAATAACTTGTTGGTGGAAGATGTGTTCTTTGTAATAAAAAGTCACCAAAGTTTTTGTTAGGTAACTTTATTTTAAATGTTTACTAAGATTACAAGTAACATTAGTAGATAAGTAGCTAAGAGTTAAATGATAACATATTTCTGGTGACAGTTCAGATGAACACATAAAAACTTAGAAAAAATAAATAAATGCAAACAATATGAAAACCAAAAAATGAAAGTAAAAAGAAACATACTTGAAACTGAAACAAATATCCATAAATGCAAATAACTAAAAATAAGCTAAAAAAATGCATTTACCACACTGTTCCAATAAGTAATTTTTTATTTGATGCAAGTATGAATCCTGTGAAGGTTATGTAAAAAAAGGTTGCTTATGATATGTCATTTATTTCTTATAATGAGATTTTATTCATTTATTAATTTTCAAAAACTATGGTAAATATATGCATATTATAAGTGTAGCTCCAAAACTGCACTGAAGTATAAATTTAACATACAAAAAGAATTCAGTTTTAATCCTTACATGTATACACAAAGACACACACACATATGTAGAGAGAGAGAGAGAATTACATGATAAAATCTGTAAAAATATTAATATTAAAACTAGAATATTTTCCTTTTAATACAGAAATTTGACTTTATGACTTAAATTATACCCACAGAACAAAATTTTATTTCATGTTTAGATATCAAACACATTAAAAAACAAAAATTTAAAACCTGATCAAAATAAAACTGGCAATTACTGTAAAAAATTAAAGTTAACTTGTCAATTCACAGCTGTTTTGATTCCAATTTTGATAGTTGAAAATTATTTTCCTAATCTCTAAGCCCATTTTGTGATTAAGTGTCATTTTCTTGAATAAAACTCAATCTACTCAAAGTTTGCTTCCACCACATTTTCATGCACAATTTATGATGTCACAGAAGAAAAGCCTTGGAATACTAGAATTAGAATTGTTTTCGAAGTCATCTTCTTTTGAAGAGTACAATGACAATTCAAGAAAGAATAATAATTTGGCACCACACCAGGTTGAGCCATATGCTAGTGACAAAGAGAATGAGACTATTGAGAGAGAAAGGAAAAAAGGATGAAAATGGAGATGTTAATCATCTTTGGACAACAGACTTGTTTGTTATACAAAATTTTACACATGAACCACTGAAAAAGTAATGCTAAAATATCATGGCAGAAGTTGTGACAACAGGTAGAATCTTATTTGGCTGTTGTAACTGTGCTTTATTCAACAGTTATCAGAAATTTGAAATGCTTTTTGACTCATTTTTGGTGACAACCCACGAAATACTTTTTTTAAATCAAATTTCTAAAACTATAATAATTTTATGAAAAATATTTAAACATCTGAGGAGAATGCACATATTTATTAAGAAGTTATCAAATTTTAATGGGATACTATTTTAGATATAGGTAATGAATATATTTTTTATTGTTGAATATAAACTAGAAAACATATGTTACAATGACAAACCTATCATAATTATTACTCACTGAACACTTATTTAAATTATCAAAAAAGTTTTGTTTGCTTCCAAAAAATAAGTTTATGTGAATACCACACCAATATATAAACTAAAGAGCACATCTATAATTCAAAATAAATCTAATAAATGTTTACATTTGTTTAGAATTCTCCTAGTTACTCAATATTTAAATAATCACAACTCAGGGAACATGAACAAATTTTAGTTTACTCTAAACCCACTATTATACTTAAGGGTTTGCATAAAAACTTTGTATCAAAACCACTGACATTTGGATGAAGTACAAATTAATACAGCTTAGATATAAATGCAATTATAATATCAATTTACTCTTGCATTCTCTCTGTTCATTAAAGTTTTTATTTTTCTTTTGATGATAAATGGAAGTTAAGCATTGAGGTCACAATTAATTTTGATGTCACTGTGTTTGTGTTACTTTTGTTGGAATATTTAAGTCACTTCTGTTGGCTGTTTCCATGTTTCAATAGCTGCTAAAGCATCTGACAAAAGCAATTTCCTTTGTATTGTGAGGTCTACTTATTCCCTGATTGCCTATCTGAATGCATCATCAGTTTATTCCACTCATATCTGTCACTTGATACTTATCACATTCATTGTTTCATTACTTTTTGTTGGTCCAATGGAAAGTTATGCAATGAAACTTCATTTTTATTAGTTTTAGAACATCTTATACCAATGCATTTTTTACCAGATATCCTGGAACAACTGTCATTTCAAGGCATGGTACAATATACACTTTATACTCATATAAAATGTTGACATGTCAGTAAATTATCCTTTACAACAATAAAAACACACACACAGAAGATTCAAAACACAGTTAGCATCTTTTTTTCCTTTGTTTACTATACCAGAAATTTACTGCACACAATATATGATGTCACAATCATTTGAACTCGGGGGAAAAATGTAAAATTTTTGTTCAAATGATTTTCACATTTAATCATTTAACAAAGAATCTACTTTGGAACTGGTTTATTGAGTTTTCAGCAGTCATCTTTTTAATATTACACATAAAATGAAAAAACTTTGCTCAATGGGTGCATAAAAAACAATGTTTCTCAAAAACATGATTTTCAAAGAAGTATTATAAAATAGCTAATAATAACTATAAAATTTTACTCAAACTAAATAATAATATTAGAGAAGCTTCACAAACAAACTGAAAATTTTTCACATGGTTTAATTACACATTGCCTGTTTTTTTTAATAGCTAAATGTGATAGCTAGAATACATTTATATTTACGTTTATCTATCCATTGAGTAAGGTGCACACTAACAATATAATGATTGGGATGGATAACTAATATTTAACCCTCTTGCAAGGAGTAGGTCAAAGTGTACACATCACAGCCTTTTACAGACTTACATTCAAAATTAAATTAAACTATTTTATTATTTATGTTAATGAAACAATTTGGCATCAAATTGTAGTTCGTAAGTCACATTTTAGTACTATACAAGTTTTAAATTCTTAATTCAATCAGGAAATATTTAAATAAATCCTCAATCTTCCCTAGTATGAGAATTGTGACATTTGTTCTCTGGATCTCCCCCTTTTCCAATTTATTTACCACCACCCCTCTGAAGTACAAAATTTAATGTAAATTACTCATTAGAATATGGATATTACTAAGGCAAAGACTAATTTTTATAGCCTTCAATCTTATTTGTTTACAGAGTCATAAAATAGAAAGCCAAACCCACTTGCCAAGTCCAACTGTCACATCCTTTCTTTTACAATTTGCCAATAGTTCTCTCTGACTTTTTATACTATGTCATTTATAACAAATACAAAAACAAAGTTTTAATCTATTGAATGATGTATAATGCTACATGGTTCTCAATACGAGTACTGTACTGTCAATTTCATCTTCCGTTTGGATGCTTATCTCATGCTCTTCTGATCAAGCAGCTAAGGGAATTAATGTAAGCCCCACTTGTCTTAGTTAGAAAGCCAGTTAACCATATCGCCCCAAGTACACTTTACTGTGCATGACACAAGGTTTTAGTGTCTAACATTCAAAATTTTATTAAACTACTTTTTGTTTATGTTATACTGATTAGAATAGCATAAAATCTTAGCTAATAATCCATATTTTAATAGAATACAAGGTTTAAGTTCTTAATTCTACAAGGAAATATATAAAAAAAATTCCTTAATTTCCACTAGTGCGACACACGTGACATATTTTGTCTTAGCATGTCATCATCCCTATTTTATCTATCACCCCTTGAAAATGTACAAAATTAACCATAAAATACTCTATATAAATTCGTTATTGCTCAAACAGACCATAATTTTTATAGCCTTCAATTTTGTTTGGTTACAGAGCTATCGAATAGAAAATCAGCCCCCTCCTGCCACACCCACTTGTCACATCCTCTCTTTCACAATTCGTTTATAGTTCTCTCTTACGTTTCATTATATATTACCTATAACCAATAGAAAGTCAAGGTTTTCATCTATCAAATAGCGTATTGTATAACGTTGTGTTCTGAACAGATAACTGTCAATTTCACTCGGAGTAGCAACATCGTTCCCGTGGGAAAGTTAACGACTAGCTTGGATGAATTTGTAATGGCTCTTATTGCATAGTTAGAAAGACAGGAAATTTTTTAGAAGTAAGTAAATTTGTATACTTTTTGCATGTTATTAGTCTATATTCTTTGGTGTATTATTTAATTGAATAAAAATTGTTAAGTGCTTTACTATAATCACTAAAAAAAAATCAGGATTAACTCTCCTCGACAATCGAGGGCAAGAAAAAAGAACATTGGGCAAGTACTTTATTTCTTGTTTTTCATATTTATTATTATAAAAATAACTAACATTAAAAGTATGAATTTTTTAAAGTTATTTAAGACTAGATTAAGTAAAATAAGTAATAATAATATAATCAAAATGGTTCACAAGGCATGCACGTGAGCAGCTTGTGGGTAACGTAATTCGATAGTGTAACGTAAGCAGCACGTTCCCTGAGTGATTTACAACTTAATGGCGGGGGTAGCAGTTAGACACAGTTCAAAGTACAATAAAACAATAAAATTTAAGCATAAATAGATGTATAATGTTACAAACTTAGAGCTACTTAGGATAAACGACTGTAGTTTCAGGTTTCAATTTGAAGTCATTCTAGAAAGAAAAGAAGTTTAATTTAGGTTTATTTCGATTTTTTTTGGTGGTTACAAGGTTGGTCGAATTGACCATTCCCGTTTTGAGATAGGGTAGAGAAAATAACATATAAACTATAAAGATTTAGTGAAAAAAAAACGTTTCAAATGCATTTAAGAGGTTTTAGGGATTACACATAGGAAATTTGAGATCTTTGAGATGACAAAGTATTTTTAATTTTAATATGAAAATTACTTTGCACATGGACTATTCAAAACAAATTCTCAATATATTCATGGACAAAATTTTATTTTACTTTATTAAAAATACTTTGCTAAGAAATATGACTCTTTTGTATGTGAAAGACTTGTAATATTAACTGAAAGACTGCCAAATTTTGTGAAGTTGTACTCAATATATATATAGTTATAACTATTAAATTTATATATAGACTTTAAATGAGTACAAAAGGTCATGTGACTTGGTTAAATTGACCGACCCCGTGTTAGGAGAGTTACATTATAAGTTATAGGATATCATTTGCTTATGCATAATATTTTTCTGTGTTCTTAAGATTATTATTATCATCATCTATAATAATAAAAGAGTGTGTCTGTGGGTCTATGTGACCACCATAACTGTAAGAGGAAAGAACCTAGAAACCTGAAATTTTGCACCAATACTAAGTGGACCTTGAGAGTGTGCACCTGGATATTATTACTTATCCACGTGTGCACACACGCTCTTCTTTTTAATGAGGCAAGCTAGCGAAAAACCACATAGAAAAGAAGTTGTTCCTTATATTACAATTTATAGATATAACTCACAGACAAACAGACAGAATACAACAAATATTTTTTCAGTTTTGTAGGTTTATACATTTCATTTTATACTTTCAGCACATTGACTATTAACAACAATATTAGGTTATACTTTTATTGCTAAGCAACATGATATGAAAGGCATTGTTGGAACTCATTGTTACCAAAACACACTGGCTTTTCTATACATTAGAAGTTTTTATACAAGGAACCACTTCTTTTCTATGTGGTTTTTTTGCTAGATTCCTCTGTAAAAAGATGCACATGCATGCACATGTCTGTGATTTACATCTATAATTTGTAATATAAAGAACCACTTCTTTAATTATAATATTATAATTATAGAGTGTGTCTGTACGTCTGTCTGATTTCTTTGGGAAAACATCCAAAATATTGTCTAATCTGAAGCACTGCAATAGTGAAAAATCCTAATAGATTCTGATAAAATGAGATAGAAATTTGTGATATCGATTATAAATGTGAAATATTTAATGCAATGATAAAGTTCTTTGATAATAAATAAATCTTAATTTGCTGTACTTTCTTTATGGCTTTTTTATGTTTCTGGAAAATCAAAATGTTTAAAATATTTTTTTACAGTTCCTTTATTCGACAATAGGTTCAGAATATACACTCTCATAGTCATCTAGAATATATCAACCTAATATCCAGAGGAAAGACAGGTACTTTTGCTAGTTATAAAGTAGGCTTCAATTTCATCGGCAACTGACAGCAAAATAAAAATAAAAAAGTTCAAACATAAGTACTATATTTCTTGTTTTTCATGTACATTCTTTATTTATCATTATAAAAATAACTAAAATGTAAAAATTAAAAACTTATTTATTAGGTCATACAAGGTTCAATTAGGTAACATAGTGAATAATAAAAAAATATTCATGAGATATGCTTGCAAGCAGCACATGCACTATGTCATTCAATATGATTTACCACTTTTGTGGCAGGATTATTAGTTAGACACAGTCAAAAGGGGCAATAACACAATCAAATTAAGTATAAACAAAGATATACTCTTACAAGCTTTAAGCTATTTACAATAAACAACTGTAGTTATATTTTGCAATCTGCAGTCATTCTAGAAAGACAAAAGGGTAATTTAGATTTATTTAATATTTTCTATGGTGGTTACATGATCAGTCAGATTGACCTAGTCCATATATAGTTAGGATAGAAAAAATAACAGACAAAATATAAAGTTTTACTGAAGAAAAATGTTTGTTATTTATTTAGAAGGTTTTAGAGATTATGCAAATTAAATGTGAAATTATCAGATGAAGTATTTTTAATTTTAACATGAAATCACTTCACAATCAAAGCAGTCAACACTCTGGCTCCATTATTTACAAACAAATCTTTAGTAAAATTACTTAATTAAAAAATCTGATTTTTTTTTTATATAAAAGACTAGTTACCTTTACTTCAAGCTTTACAAATTTTGTGAAGATATATTAAACACATTCAGAGTTATGGTATGTATATGTTCATGGAAGTTACAAGGTTGTGTAAAATACAGGAGCCTGTGTCTATAGGGTTAATCAAGATATCATAGGTTTTATTATACTGTACACACAGGTATGTGACCATCATTTGGGTTAGAATACCTACTTCAAGAGATGCATTTATACGCATTACCTGCATCAATCTTGTTAAAGTAATCTGTTTTACTTTTGTAAGTCTCTTTCACATTTTTAAAACTTTTTAAACCAAAACTGCCGACATGCAGTTAATGGTAGTCTAGATGTAGAACTTCATGGGCTTGAGCATCCATACCTATTCCTTCCATACTGTAATTTGCAGAATAGGCTTATTTGTCTTTTATTTGTACTACTTTATTGTTTTTTAACCTTGCTGCCTGAAAGATTTATTATACATATGCATACCTCAAAACATCTAAGTTTGGGCAGTTCAGAAAATACAAAAATTGGTTTAACAATAAAAATAAGAAACTTCGCTAACAATACCTACTGAAATTTAGTCTATTTTCTAAGATAATTCTAGCATAAACTAAAATATTCAGCAATGTCATGAACTGCTATGATGGGTTATAATGATAATCAATTTTTGTAAAGAACTAATGCAGCGTATTGTGTGGCAAATACAATGGTGATTTCTGGCATAGGTAGAAGAAAGTACAAGACTAAAAATGAGCTTTTTTATCATTTTTCATCCCAAAAACACAATCTTTCAGCCTATTTTAATATTAAAATTGAAATTTGAGGTATTAAAATATATATACACATATACCTGCTGCTAGTCTTTCAAGTCGTCGACCATGCTCTGGCGGAATAGCGTACCATGACTTCGGAGCACCAAAATGAAGATAGTTAATGCTGTATAATTCCATGTCTTCAGTGTGCCATGCAAATGTAGTTTTCCACATTCCAAAATAAAGGTAAGCAGTGTTAACCCCTTCAATACGAATTCCATAGTCCTCTCCAACAAGATCCAATATTGTGTTCAAATGATTGATGTTGAATTCCTACAAAAAAATAAAATTGTTGTCCTATTCCCTTTTTTACTGAATACTTCAAGTCACATTTTAATAATCACATCTGTAACAAAAAATTACTATAAAATAGGTTTGAAATGGTCCAGACTGCATCATTTATCTCTATATCAATAAAGATAAGTGCTAAAATATTTACAAAAGTAGTCTTAGGAGGTTTGAGACTTAAAATTTATATTCAATATCAAGTGGTGCTACTAAAGTATTTTAAATCATATAAAATGTAATGAATGTTTCAATATCTATGAAAACATTATAGTGAATGTACTATTACTTCAAAAACAAGTGATTCTTTTAGACGCAATTTTCATTCATTATTAAAGTACTGATTTTTCTCAAATTTTATCAAAAAGAAATAAGATTTAGCAGTCATCATATAGTTTTAATTGCTGCAATTATGAGTTTTTGGGGGCAGATTTTGTAGATAAAATACTGTGATATTATTTGTATTTATACAGTACATATATTACACTATCATTTATTAAACTTTTTTTTAAACATTACACACTCATCTTTACATGCAATTATGCATATATCAAATTTTTTCTTAATATAATCATACTAATTGAGAATATGTGCATCTATAAAAAAAATTTAAAACTAGCAACTATCAGTAATGAGGCTGGATATATAATTAAAACAGATATGGTGTTCTGTTTATTTTCTGCAAAAGCACTGCATGGTCAAATTACCATCACTCAGAAATTGTTTGACAGGGCTAATATACAAGATAAAAAAACCTCATACAAGTTTATTTTAATTGTTTTTACCAAAATGTGCATTACCTTTTGTTTTACTAATATGACTGAATAACAATTCTCCCGAAACAGCTAACTGTACAAACAGCAAATAAATATTAAACGACTTATAGCCTTTAGCACTTCTAAGCTATGTCCATATATGAATTTAAGCAAATGTCTCCTAAATGAGGTCAAATTAATTTTTTTCTTATTAACTGTCCATGTGGCAGCAGATAATGTTTAAAAATGGAATAAAATGGAATAGAGGATGGATTAAAATATGGATCCATGAAATTAGAAAAAAATAAAAAAAGTACATTTATGGTACTGAAACAGAAATAATGATAAAGATGCTGTCCATTAAGCAAGTTTTTAATACTTTTGTTTGAAAATCTTCCTACTAAAGTTATTGATTCTTCTTCTTTATAACGCATTTAATCCTTTTGTTCTTTAAACTTACATTTCGATCATTTTGAACCCAATGACTACCAGCTACTTATCATCTTTAATAGGTAACGTTGTTTTCATAATATTTATTCCAAAAATAAAACTAGTGGATGAAATTGTTTAAAGTTTGACAAGAACATTCCTAAAAGTATGTAGTTTCAGAAAAATAAAACATTTAATTTAGATTTTTTTCTACTATTTCTAATAAAAAATCAGTTATTTAACCCTATCACCCTGGGTACCCTTTACTGCGCATGACACAAGGTTTCAGCGTCTTACATTCAAAATTTTATTAAACTACTTTTTGTTTATGTTATACCAATTAGAATAGCATAAAATCTTAGCTAATAATCCATATTTTAATAGTATACAAGTTTAAAGTTCTAATTCTACAAGGAAATATTTTTAAAAATCCTGAATTTCCACTAGTGACCCACGTGACACATTTTGTCCTAGCTCGTAATCACCCCTCGAAAATGTATGAAGTTAAACATAAAATACTCTCTATAAAATCGTTATTGCTCAAACAAACAATAATTTTTATCGCCTTCAATTTTGTTTGGTTACAGAGTAATCGAATAGAAAATCAGACCCCTTCTGCCACATCCTGTCTTTCACAATTCGTTGATAGTTCTCTCTTACTTTTCATATATATTATCTATAACCACTAGAAAGTCAAGGTTTCATCTATCAAATGATGTATTGTATAATGTTGTATTCTGAACAGAATATTGTCAATTTCACTCACAGTTGGAGATTTGTTCATGTGGGAAAGTTAACAAGTAGCTAGGATGAATTTGAAACAGCTCTTGTTGCATAGTTAGAAAGCTAGGAACATTTGAGAGGTAAGTAAATTTATCTACTTTTTGCATGTTATTACTCTATTTTCTTTGGTGTATTATTTAATTAAATAAAAATTGTTAAGTGCATTACTATAATTACTATAAAAAATCAGGCTTAATTCTTCTACACAATCGCGGGGCACAAAAAAAAGAGATTGGGTAAGTACTTTATTTCTTGTTTTACATATATATTCTTTATTTATTATGATAAAAGTACCTAAAGTCTAAAAATACAGATCTTTTTTGAGTTGATTAAGACTAGATTAGGTCAAATAAACATTAATAATAATATTAAAAAAATATTTCATGAAACATGCATGTGAGCAGCTCGTGAGTAACATAATTCGATAGCGTAGCATGCGCTGCACATGTACATTATAAATCTCGAGGCAAAGTAAAGAAGTTGGGTATGGAAAATTTATCTGCTTCCAAGACAACCCAGTTTGCAGACTGTAGATCTCAAGTGACACTTAGATCAAACATACATATTTAGTGTGTAGAAACGCCTGTACATGCCATATTGTGTGCCTAATTTAGAAATAGTGTTAAAGTCAAGATTTTTCAGAGTGCATGGATCACATGACATGAAAATTGCAGTTTAAGTATTTTTTTAAAGGTTTTCTTTGAAAAAAATGTAATTAAAATGTAGAAAACACAAAAAAGTTCAAATAATAACATACAATACAATGTTAATTTCATTTTCATATATTGGTAGTAAAGTGGTTTAACACTCTCAACACGAGGTCAGTCAATTTGACCGAGTCACGTGACCTTTTGTACTCATTTAAAGTCTTTATAAATTTAATACTTATAACTCTCAATATACTGGGTATATCTTCACAAAATTCGGCAGTCTTTCAGTTAATATTACAAGTCTTTCACATACAAAAAGTCATATTTCTTAGCGAAGTATTTTTAATAAAATAAAATAAAGTTTTGTCCATGAATATATTGAGAATTTTTTTTGAATAGTCCATGTGCAAAGTAATTTTCATATTAAAATTAAAAATACTTTGTCATCTCAAAGATCTCAAATTTCCTATGTGTAATCCCTAAAACCTCCTAAATGCATTTGAAACGTTTTTTTTTCACTAAATCTTTATAGTTCATATGTTATTTTGTCTACCCTATCTCAAAACGAGATTGGTCAATTCGACCAACCTTGTAACCACCAAAAAAATCGAAATAAACCTAAATTAAACTTCTTTTCTTTCTAGAATGACTTAATTGTAACATGAAACTACATTTGTTTATCCTAAGTAGCTCTAAGTTCGTAATATTATACATCTATTTATAATTAAATTTTATTGTTTTAGTGCACTTTGAATCGTGTCTAACTGCTATCCCCGCCATTATAAGTTGTAAATCACTCGGGGAACATGCAGCTCATGTTATGATATCGAATTACATTATCCACGATCTGCTCACGTGCGTGCCTTGTGAACCATTTTAATTATATTATTATTATTACTTATTTTACCTAATCTAGTCTTAAATAACTTTAAAAAATTTTTACTTTTAATTTTAGTTATTTTTATAATAATAAATATGAAAAACAAGAAATAAAGTACTTACCAAATGTTCTTTTTTCTTGCCCTCGATTGTCGAAGAGAGTTAAGCATGATTTTTTTTTAGTGATTATAGTAAAGCACTTAACAATTTTTATTTAATTAAATAATACACAAAAGAATATAGACTAATAACATGCAAAAAGTATACAAATTTACTTACTTCTAAAAAATTTCCTGTCTTTCTAACTATGCAATAAGAGCCATTACAAATTTATCCAAGCTAGTCGTTAACTTTCCCACGGGAACGATGTTGCTACTCCGAGTGAAATTGACGGTTATCTGTTCAGAACACAACATTATACAATACGCTATTTGATAGATGAAAACCTTGACTTTCTATTGGTTATAGGCAATATATATAAGGAAACGTAAGATAGAACTATCAACGAATTGTGAAAGAGAGGATGTGACAAGTGGGTGTGGCAGGAGGGGTCTGATTTTCTATTCGATAGCTCTGTAACCAAACAAAATTGAAGGTTAAAAAATTATGGTTTGTTTGAGCAATAACGATTTTATAGAGAGTATTTTATGTTTAATTTCATATATTTTCGAGGGGTGATGGATAAAATAGAGATAATGACATGCTATGACAAAATGTGTCACGTGGGTCACACTAGTGGAAATTCAGAATTTTTTATATATCTCCTTGTACAATTAGAACTTTAAACTTGTATACTATTAAAATATGGATTATTAGCTAAGATTTTATGCTATTCTAATTGGTATAACATAAACAAAAAGTAGTTTAATAAAATTTTGAATGTTAGACACTAAAACCTTGTGTCATGCGCAGTAAAGGGTACCCAGGGTGATAGGGTTAATTAAATTTTTAACGTAACGCAGTGCGATACACAGAAAGGAATTTAAAAATGTCACCAGGGGCCATAAGGTTAAGGAACTAGACTTGTTCTTCCCCCCTATTTATAATTACAAAAAAAGTTTACCAAATATATTAAAATTTTACTCTTTAAGTGAAGCAAAAGCAAATATACTGTCCTAATAATCTTACTTCTACATTTTCATCATACAATGATCCAGACACATCTGCTCCATAAATAGGAGAGTTGTATGTCAAATTTTTCCAGTATTTTCTCTCCAGGTCTTCATAATCAAAATGCCTAGGAGTTCCATACCTTTAAATCAATTATATATAGAATTAGAACTACTAAAAGTGCCAGAAACTAGCAATGTTAAATAAGAAAGGTCATTATTGGCCAAGTACATTATAAAATATTCAAATTGGATAGAAATATGATTTCAGGAACTATGGTTAATCTGGAATGTTATCTGTTAAACAATTATAGCAAAATCCATATTGTCCATACCATTTTAATAATATCTCAAAAGTTGTGCTTTTAACAGAACAGGCATAGTGAAAAAAATACTTGAACTAGTATAGAATTATTACTTGTAACACTGTGCACTACAGTGTTGTAAAAATGCAAAATGTGTTTGGCAATAGCAACACATGGTCAAAAATACAGGAAGTTTTGTCAAATACTAAAGAAACCATTTAAAAATCCCTGCGTAAGTACCCAGTGAGTCAATGTTACAATATTATGGAAATTAGCCATTGAAATACTACATAGCATTATTCAGTTTAAATGCTTTATTCAAACATGAATTCATGCAAATGAAAGGACTTCAACATTTAGTTGTAGATAAAAGTATTTCTTGGAAAGATTTGGCTACTTATGTAGGGATTTTTGTATGGTTTTGTGTATTCATCCTTACCTTGTTTCTGTACTTTTTTGGCATTGCCATCTCTATACCATAATTTTTCAAAATTTTTTTTATTACTTGTTTCATCTGAATTAGTACCAAGACATATCTTCACCTTTTCCAACACCACTCGAGTAGCATACGGATAATTAGAATTAAAATTCGGCTATTAAAATGATGCACATGACCATACTCTGATCAATTCAAATGCTGGGCAAACTACATGAAACTAAGATATTATGTAATACACATGCAACACAAGTGGATATTTTATCTGCCCATCCTGTTGTAATGAAATATAACTTCAACAGCTCAATACGTTGCCAAATGAGGTGTTTATATACATTTTATTTTACTATTTCAGAAGTAATTAACAAAGAAACCTTGTTCTGATTAATATGTTTGTGGCTACTACTTGGAAAATTATTATGTAGCAAGGATATAACATAACACAAGTAATCTATCATACCTGTCATTATATTTGTGCAAATTTTATCAAAATTCAATGAAGGACATTAATAAACACCAGCTATACTTACTTGTCACTTTCAGCTAACTCCTTAAATTCCATGACTGTCATAGCTTTTCTCTGAATGTTGTACTGCTGATACAATCCTTGGCATCCATTGACAACTTGAGTAATTGGAGCAGGAATAATGAGATCAATGTTATCATAGCCTGCTTTGCGAGGACACCATTCTTTAGGTGGGATGATCTGATGCAACAGAAAATCACAAGTAGTCAACTTTTAGAGACTGTTACTATTTCTTCACCTCTTCCTACTATTCACAGTGATAGTATAGTATACCTGTACTTCTATTTTATATGTTACTATTGCACAGAACTTACACCCCACAGGAAATAAAAGTACAATTGATTTTTTGGTAAAAGTTATTCTAAACTTATGATTACATTTTATTATAACTAATTTCTTTCTAAAGTGTTTTAACTACTAATACTCATCTTGAGAAAACCTAAACAGTTTAATTCTATTATTGATGCAAGTTATAGCCAACAAGCATGAAAAATTTCCTTAAAAGTCCTGAATTTCAGAGTACTTTCAGAGTTAAGAAATGGATGCCAGCTATTGCTTATTAATTTGGTTGCCAGGTAAAAACTGTAACATAGTGAAAATGAAAAATTACTTTTTTAACTAAAAGTTTGTGTTCAGATTCAACTTTGTTTCATTTTTCACTTCTTATAGAAAAGCTTTCTTACATAGGATGGTGTGCCAATTTAACATTTCTATAATTAAACTCAATTTGCAGCTTGCAATCATATGAGCAATAACAAATTCTAGGTTTCAAGGATTCACTTGCATGGCTCAAGAATCCAGCCAAAATGTGGCCATTACCAACTGATGAAGAAAGAAATCATACTAACAAACATTTCAGACAATCCAGAGCAATGTTAACATTTTCCTTACCTGAAAATGGATTTCTGATAAATACTTCCACACACAGTTTAGCTATCTTCATCATCATGCCTGCGAAAGAGATTTACATGCCACTAACCTTGATGCAACTCCCACCTAATTTCACATAAATTGCACCGCCACATTCTAATAAGTATCATGCGACAAAAGCCCTTCATCAATAGGAGGGTGACATACCACCATGTGCAATAACTCCCCTATGTGCTTTCACTGGTAATACTTTATTCTTCGACAAGACAGGTCAGAAAATGTGCACAAGAAGTGAGGAGGATATGTGTGGAGGTAAGTATAAATCAGAAATACATTTTCAGGTAAGGAAAATGTTAAGTTACAAGACGACAACAAGTCGTCTCCACACACAGTTTAGCAAGAATCCAATGTTGAGATGGTGGAGGGGCAATTGAAAAATTTACCTAGATAGCACCCAAAGGAAACCCATAGGGTGTGATACCCAATGGCAGAGGCCCCATACCAGCACACCCGAGGAAGACTGCATCTCATCTCATCCCATATAGGAAAGTGAAGAGGCAAAGAAGCCAGAGTTGTGTTGCAAAAATGGGCAGAATTGGTACATGGCCATTCAAATACTTGCACACAAATCATCAGACAGCCAACATGTGTAGTATGGTTGGGTCTCATTCAGACTGTACATTACGTGCTCATCTCAACTATCCTATCAGACGGAATGGGTCAAAACTAGCTTTGGGAGGAGGGCACATGTGATAAGTATCTATGCTCACCTCAACTCTACCATCAGATGCTACAGGACTGACTCCTGCTGCAATAAGAGGGCACTTTATTACATATAGTATGGATACTTATATACCTCAATTCAACTGCCAGTCTCTACGGGCTCAACACCAGAAGGAGAGTAGTGTATAAATCTGAGGCCAGAAGGAGAAGATAAATAGGGAAGTAGGTATAGAGAAAGGAAATAAG